TTGGTCGTATTTATGATATATGCAAATATATTTGAAAATCTTATTTGCATATTTTCGACTGATTTCATTTTGTTTAGGGGGTCATCATTCGAAATACATTCAAAACTGGCCGAAAAAAGTAATAAAAATTAAATAACTCCTACGCCATAGCTATTATCAACAGGAATGTAACTTAATGCCAGAGTACTTAAGTGTGGATCAAATGGTACTACCAATTGGCAGCTGACAAACTAGCATACTTCGTTTGAGTTAAAAAATATATTAGGCCTCCAGAGAAAAGTATATTAAAAAAAACATATTTATTCTCTTTTTGAAATTAGAGCAATCAATAAATAAATCTTTAATTAAAAAAGGCATATATTGGATGAAAATATCATTTATTATACCAATATTTCAGTTGGCTGATAAAGGTTGGCGTTCAGCCAACTGAAATATTGGGAAAATAAATGATATTTTTATACAATATATGCCTTTATATATGAATAATTATTCTCTAGCTTTCGGTAAGAAACGCCCTTGAACAGGAGAAACACATGGAGGTAAAGCATTTCTCCTGTTGAAGGGCGTTCGTTCCTGAAAGCTAGAGAATAAATATGCATTTTGAAAAAGATACTTTCCCTGATGTCCTGATTTATTTTTAACTTAATATTGATACAAGGTATTTTTTTTATTGAATACTTCGTTCAAATATTCCTCTCCCTTTTCCTAAAGTATTGGAGGAATGTGGCAAGTTTCATACTATATCCAGTATAACCTCGTTAATTCGACACACGCCAATTCGACGCTCCACGTTAATTCGACCATTTTCTGATGTCCCAATCTACGGCCTTTCAAATAACAAACCGTAATTCGACACTATCGATGATACGACACCTCCGATAGTTCGACCATTTTAAAATTAGAATTTCGATAGTTGAAAGTTTTTTTACATACAACTTTCCCGCTAAAAAGGTATTACAGCTGCGGACAAGCGGCGACGATCGGCGGGCGCCGATAGGATCTATCTTTCAAGAATTTAACCCCTCAACTGGGAGCCTCCACGTGAGGCTAGGTAAACAACGTCTTAGAGCAGCTAAGCCAGGAGAGAAGAAACCTGGATAAGTCTCAAAATCCATCCTAATATGTAGAAAGACACTCACTTATCCTTTAAGTTGGAAACGGCTTCTATAGGCCGATAAACCTACTATTTATAATAATGAATAGATTCAAAAAGGATGAGTTTCTTTATTTGGAAAATTAATTCGAGCTTTCGGGCGCAAGCTGCCCTTCTACAGGAATAATATTTACAATTTCAATTAATCATGTATTTACAGTTCTATATATTTTATTTAAATGGTTTCTCGCTTTGGTCTTGCATAGCGTGAGTGGATCACATGCCCGCGTGATTTAGTTCAAATCAAAGAAAAGCCCTGATAAAGAGAGGCGCGTTGCCCCCAGAAATACTAGCCGATTAACAATTTATATCCATTATATGACATATATTAATCTATACATATATATAAGCTATTTTTTGCATATTTAGGATTATTTATGAAGTTTTATATTTTATTATTTAAGAAAATTATTGCTATGTAAATTAGACATTTGGTTCATATTATTATATGCAAAATTGTTAAGAGTGGTGTGGTTAGGAGAAATCGGATAATTCTATTTTAGTTTTTGGACCAGCCTATCATATGTCTCTGGAATATCTATGTGTCTATTTATGCTATTATATTTTGTTGAAATTAGTGCTTCCAGTATTAATCTTTTGTATTTACTATTTATGTTTGTATAATGAATATTAAGGTTTGCTAGGTTGAAATCGTGATCTGTGTTTCTGATATGTTGTACTATTAGAGATTTGGGGTCTTTGTTTTTAATATTTCTTCTATGTTCGTCTATTCTGTCTTTTATATGTCTACCTGTTTCACCTACATATACATTATTACATTGGTTGCATGGTATGGAATATACGGCTTGGCTATTGTATAGTTTTGTTATAGGAATACTGTTTATATATAGACACATAGATATTCCAGAGACATATGATAGGCTGGTCCAAAAACTAAAATAGAATTATCCGATTTCTCCTAACCACACCACTCTTAACAATTTTGCATATAATAATATGAACCAAATGTCTAATTTACATAGCAATAATTTTCTTAAATAATAAAATATAAAACTTCATAAATAATCCTAAATATGCAAAAAATAGCTTATATATATGTATAGATTAATATATGTCATATAATGGATATAAATTGTTAATCGGCTAGTATTTCTGGGGGCAACGCGCCTCTCTTTATCAGGGCTTTTCTTTGATTTTAACTAAATCACGCGGGCATGTGATCCACTCACGCTATGCAAGACCAAAGCGAGAAACCATTTAAATAAAATATATAGAACTGTAAATACATGATTAATTGAAATTGTAAATATTATTCCTGTAGAAGGGCAGCTTGCGCCCGAAAGCTCGAATTAATTTTCCAAATAAAGAAACTCATCCTTTTTGAATCTATTCATTATTATAATTATTGAAAGGATTATTCGTCTTAAACCTACTATTTACATCAATTGCATATGTGTATGGAAAGTAGGAGAAAAATCATCACATTATTTTCCCACGAAAATCCTCAATGAATGGACTAATCAAACCAAGATGCAAAGTAGTGAAATGATATTGGAGAGGTTGATTGAAGAGATTACACAACACTCTTAGTAGTGATTCACATGAAATCAAATAAAATCCGGGAAAACATTGTTGCAAGCTTATCTGAAATCAAACAGTCAAGATAGATTTAGTGAGATCCATCACCGATTTGCTACGGTTTTTCCTTTCAATTCTCTACATCGAGCGTGGTGTAATTTCTTTCGCGTTATCTCTTCAAGCAGCTTTTTTGTAAAAAAAAAATCATCAAAAATGGCGGCGCTGACATTAGAATATTAGTGTGAAAAAGAAGGTAAAAAAAATTAATTATTCGCACTTCCTCTATTAGCTGTGATAACATCGATTTTTTTTATTTTTAATTTTTGATTGGAAACTCGTTTGGTACTATCTATTCTCCATTTTTTAAATAAAAATATTCAATTTTTAAGAATTAAAAAATCTTATTTTATCGCCTAATATAATTAGTCTTTTGTAGAACAATGATATTTTCATATATGTTCCTTTTCACCCCAGATTTATCAACCCAAAACTTATTTACATATTTGTGCAAACTACTAGAGAAAAAGTGTTTAGCGTATGCTATATAAAATTAGTATTAAACACGGGGAGCATTAGAACGCCATCTGTCTATAAGAAATGAAACTATTCAGCGCGATTATTTCTTATGCAAATAAAATAAATTTCAATAATGCTCTATATTGGAAGGTCCTGGCTCATTGGTGAAGAACTTTCTACGCGGTTTCGCCTGTTTAATCTACAATACCGCAATAATACTGTATTCTGTTTATACAGCCGCGCAATTTAAAGTAATTCTTTACTAAGGCATTGCTTATATAAATATATTAACCACAATAATTACTGTGGAGAGATATATAATACAATAATAGAGCATTTTAATCGATTGAACTGGCGAAATGGCTAGAGCCAGGCCCCTCTCCCTCCCAACGTATTTATCATCTTCCGTTTAGTGTTTAAAGAAATTTGAGACTTTTAAAAATAGAACAAAATAATTATCAGGCTGGTGGTGATGATAAATTCCCATTTTACGTATTCATTCCTGCCTTTACAATTTAACAATACCAATAAGCAATCCAGGGCCAGGTTTCATTTAACTATTTTTTTTATTTCTCAAAGCTTTCGAGCCAATATGTTCTTCAATGGGAGACCTAGAAGCACCACTTCCAGTCAGGTTATGTGTGTATAATTGGCTGTGTGGAAATGGTACTTTCTAAGTCTCCTGTTGAAGGGCATATTTGACCGAAAGCTTTAGAAATAAAAAAATAGTTAAAAGAGTCCTAAATCTGGATTGTTTATTGATTTTTGTTAAATAAATTTCCATATTTTACAGATAGATGGAGTTATTTTCAACCATCTGAGGTCACCAGAAGACTTACACAAAGGAGATAAAAAAACAGCGACTTGCTAAAAAAGTAAATGAAGAAAAGTTTTCGAATTTCTCGGCCATTTCTCTCACATTCCATCAGTTTGTCTCCAGGAACGACAAAATGAAGCGACAACCATGTTAAACTTGATATTGATCTTAAAAAAAGAAGAAGAAGAAGCCATTTCCAAGATGGCGAAGCAAAGGAGAAGCTCAAATAAAACTAAAAAAGGGGGAGAAAGGGGGGGGGTTAGTTTTAGATTAAATTCCGCTCTTTATTTTCTTTGATATCTCTCTAATTTTTTCTACTCACCACCGCCGCTACTGCTGCTCTGAAGAAAGACGTGTTTACTTGTAATGAATAAAAAAAAAATAGAAGGACGGTCAAGAAGAAAGAAAGAAAAAAAAAAAAGACCAAAACATCTCTCAAATAAACAAAGGATTTCAATGTTTTTCTTCTTTTTTTTTTTTAATATTTTATTTTTATGTGTCTCTTGTTTCTTGAAGATTATTATTATAGGAGACTAATAAAGTTAATGTCATTTGTAATTTATATTATTGCTTTTCTCTATATTTATTTGTTTGTTTGTTTCTCTTATTTCTGACTTTTCTTTTTATGTACTTTGGTTTCAAAAATAACGAAATAGATCAATATTGTAAAAAAAAGTTTTTTTTTTAAATCTTCTCTGGTATAGAATCTATACGAATAGAAAATAATAATGATAATTAAAAAATAACACAATATATTTGCCATATCATGTAAAAAATAATTCATTTAGTTATTCTAATAAATATACAACATATTACAACATTATAGAAAGACATTTGAAAATTATCCCGCATGTGTTTCTTTTGAACGAAAAATCGAAATACATTTAAACGAGAAATAACGACTATTTCTAACCTTAGGGATGAAGCATGAAAAGATTAATTGTGAAGAGTAATGATACACGGAAAAATAAAAGTGTCCAGGGATGGGAATCGAACCCACAGTATTCCGCTTACCAGGCAGGTGCCATGTCCACTAGGCTACCCTAGAATAAATTTGATTTATTTGTGAAAAGAAACATTCGTGTATTAATGTCTTCATTCGCTGTATATAGATGGTGCGTTATTGCTTTGTATTAATACAACATATTAGTTAATTTGTGTGCTATGTAAGTTTTATCATCACAAAGATTGTTGTTTTTATATACATATTACCTTCAATATCATATTTACATACTTGCTGCATTTATTTGAATAACTTTAGTCCATTGATTTACCTTTTAAGGATTCATTTGGATATAAGATGATGAAATTTCAGGGAAACATTGTTCTTGCAAGGTTTCTAATGGCTAAAATAAGCAGAAGGACGTTATAAACTATAAATTTATATAGAATCGATCTTGGGTCGTATCAGTTGAAAACCAATGGTTTAGACCACCCTTCCACCGACCCCCATCAATCACATTGTGTTTAAAAAGAATACAGGCATCTGGGACAAGTCAACTCCTATGGTAGCGGTACTGGCTGACAACACAGGCTAGAGCGTTTGGTAGATAAAGGGTTAACTAGAAAAGCCAAAGGTGTACGCGTCTCGGGTTGTTGGCCCCGTAAAGAAGCGTAAAGAATCCCCTTGGCGGGTCATTAACGTACAGCCAGAACCATGTTGACGAATGTCAACAGACCGAAACGTAATCGTGGTAGGATTTACTCGTTATTTTAACAAAGGACATTAACCAAATTCCGGAAATATAAAAAAAAATCATCCGTCAGTTCATATTTTCCTTGATAGATGACACTCAGCTAACGTTTAATTGCTCATTCAGGGGGGTGCTCTTTCATTACAGTAAAAGGTGTAATCAACACGCCTGCCATCTTCCTGTGTTAGCCCAGTGATGCATCAGTTTAAAGTAGTGTCCCAACGCCGGACAGGTGATCCCAAGCAAATTAATACCCGTCCCACCAATTAAAGTCCGGCTGTGAACCCTGACCCTCGAAACCGGTCTATACCACCACCTGCCCGGTTCATTAGACCTCTTCTCTTTCTATCCGCATCTTCTTCTTCCATTACTTGTGTTCGTCTTCCTTCTTACAATTTCCTATTGTCGTCTTTTCCTCAAACTCTTCTTCTGGTATTGTACTGTCCTCCTAGCTCTCTCTCACTCTCTCTTGTCTTTTAAATTGTCTTTTAATGACATTGTGTTTTTTTTTTCTCTTTCCTTTCTTATCACCAATTTCACTTTCAACGTTTATATTTCCTTCTAGGGTAAAATCTCCAAACACCCTTCAAAAATTCAGGTTCTCACTAAAAAAAATCCAAATAAATGTGATTAGATTGTTGATATTAGTAAAGAATTCTTATAGCGACATTTGTAATTTGACAAGATAGAATTATTGAGCCATGTTTATTTTTTATAATCTTTTAAGGAATTATTCATTTCAGATTACCATCAGGGATTGTAAATTATTCAACGCTAAGGCTTATACTCGCGGTAAACAAAAACAGTTCCATTTTTAAATCAACCTAACCTAAACAGAACTAACTAACCCTAATCTTAATTGTTTATTTTCTTAATTGTCTATTTTCTTTTTTTGATAATTCTGTTACCTACAATATGAATTATTGTAAATATTTTCACGCGCAATTATCCAGATCGGATATAGCGTGTCTTGTTTGCAAATGGTAAATAAATAAAACTAACCCTAACCTAATCTAGCCTGTATATATAAAAACCTAACCTAATGTATTAATATACTCACTAGCACCTTACCATCAGTGTGCACCGCTGAAATGAGTATTACAAAAAAAAAAAAAAAACATTATATAAGTACAGAATGAATAATACTATATAGTAAATAGTAAATATAGAATCTAGTAGCTTGAATTTGGACGAACTTGTTGGGAAGGTTTACCACTGATTAGTAAGGTTTTCATAAAAGCTTCCAAAATCAGTTCACAAAAAAAACTGTAGATATTCCGTGATATATCATTAAAAGCTTTCCACCTTCAGTTCACCAACTATATAAATTCGTTCTAAATCCTATAAAGAAAAATCAATGAATAATCCGATCCCCAACATTGTGATATATCGAAAAATATCGTTCAAAAAATGAAAATGGTAAAAACATTTCTATAGAAAATTTACAGTGAGATTGTTATTTCTGCAGATCACTAGTGACTACGAGCCGCCTAATGCAGTGGTCGGCAAACTTTTGAGTCAGAAGAGTCAAATTTACAATTTACAAAATTTCAAATTTTTAAAAGAGCCACAATATGTTTTCTTGCCAACAATAAACAGTACTCGCATAAATAATATTTACATATGGAACTATATAAAGAGCCGCAGCTTCACATCCAAAGAGCCGCATGTAACTCGCGAGCCTCAGTTTGCCGACCCTTGGTCTAGTATATCAATACCATAGGTTAGGTTAGTTTCTGGTAGCTTAAATTAGGTTAGTTTAGGTTTAAGTTGTTTTAAAAATGGAACTCAGCTTAGACTTGGGAACGAACCCCGCATTGGGCACTTTTTCCTGGTTTAAAAAAAAATGCTTCAATGGCCCCCGATGAATGCAAGTAATCAAAAGGGGCTCTTGCACACTTTGTAAATGCAGATTTCGAACTATCTTTCACCTTTTTAGACATGTAGTGCATTTATAGTAAAATAAGTCGTCAACTATTACCCACCATGATTATCATAAACCGTACCACGTATCAAAGGATAATTTTTTTAAGGAACTATTTTCTCCTACTGCGATTAGGCTTAGCGCGGAGTAATACAATCGCCGAAGTGATTTGACAATCCGCAGGAATAAGTAAATCACCGAAAGTTGCATTAAAAAAAAAAGAGTAAAGATAGAGGTTGCCTGGCCGGCATTCATATTTCTATGAAAAATAGACACTTCGGCCAGTTAGAGTTTTTGACTCGTGCTTTAGATGTTGTACTAAATTCGAAAAATCACGTGAGAACGCCCTTGCAACCCCAGATCAATTTTTAACGCCTTGCCAAATGCTTTATTTTTATTTACTTCTCCAGACGAAGACAAAAGATTTTTGTCGAAACGTTGAGAAAAATAAAAACTCTAACTGGCCCGAAGTGTCTATTTTTCATAGAAAAAAAAAAAAAGAGTATTTGTTAAAAATTAACATTTCAACAGAATTTAAGCAAGTCATATTGAAAAAAATAAGTTAGGCTTATTAAAAAAAGGTATATTTGGATTGTAAATGTAAAGTACCAAACATCTCATTGGAAACATCAGGGATAGTTTAATTGAGTTTGATAATGAGGTAACAGGATCTCTTTTTTAAACACCAAAATCCATTGTTCTGGGACTGCTGAATTTGAAAAATAGAATAAATAAAAGAGTAGCCATTTAAAAAAATCTCATTCATATAAATAGAATACAAATAAAAAAATAAAAATGAAAAAATAAACATTTATGAAATATAAATACTAAAGATTTTCTTTATTAAGAAATATGCATGACTAATAAAACTGATTTTGAAAATAGTGAAATCCATATTTAAATCATTAGGTAATTAAAAGGCATATATTGGATTTAATAAAAGATTTATTTTGCCAATATTTCGGTTGGCTGAACGCCAAACCTTTATCAAGTCATTATATTTTTGTATACACAAACTCAGCGACGCATTGTGTTATAATATCACAGTTGAAATAATTTTAAAAATATAAAGTAGGTGGGAGAAATTGTGCAAGCAAAAAATATTTAGAAAGTTACAATCAGATTAAGTTAAATATCTTAAAATATTAAAAGAAAATAAATAATGAGGGGTCTAAGCTATATTTCAATATATTTGTATTAAGAACATAAAATATAATTCATCAATCGCTGAATTGGTTTATACAAAAAATGTAATGCCTTGATAAAGGTTTGGCGTTCAGCCAACCGAAATATTGGCAAAATAAATCTTTTATTAAATCCAATATATGCCGTTTAATTATCTAATATAACTGATGTATCAAACAAACATTTCATTTATAGAGAATAACACGCCATCTATACATAAAAAAATAAAACATTTTTGCAGAAAAAAATGTAAATAATTATTATTTCTAAGCATTTATATTTTTTAAAAGCAAAAATTCAATTTTATTCTTTGTTTATATAATTATATTCACTCCTATATAACTTATGTTATATCGTGATATCTCAAAATCATAACAAATCGAATATTTTTAAAAAAGGATATATATAAAATTTAATAATTTCTAAACATATTTTTTAATAAAAACATTACAAAACATCATATATATGAAAAACATGCGTTGAATATATCGTTTGAAAAATATATATATTAAACAAATATGTATAATTAAAGTTTATGCATTTTAATTTTTAAAGAAAATAAATTAAAGGTTAAATTTAAATATAAAATTGACTTTGTATTAGCATATTTTCAAAATAAAAACAATGTTTTAACTCGGGATTTTATGCATTAATATTTTAAACATAAAATTAATAGAGTAATTTAATAAAAGAAAAATATTTTCTTAATCTTCTGATATTCTTTTTAAGATGCTATTAATTCTAATATTAGGGGCATTTTATTAAATATTTTTCATTACAAAATTACTTGTGTTATGGCTTAATTCACATGTGTATATTATTATTTAAAATACGAATATTTCTAAAATAATCGTGCCAAAAAGCTTACTTTTATTATTTTGTCCGTCTTCAAAAACGCAGTTATTAGTTTTAATATCAGACGCACTATTTTTATTGCTGATGATGATATATACCTTCTATGAAATTATTACAATTAATTAAGCGCAGATGTAATTTTATTATTTAAAATTGATCTTTAAAAATAATTTCGAAATTGTGTGCGAGGCGTTATTAATTTAATAATTAATTAAAATTCGATATTTTTGCGCATAAATATACAATTTGAAAGTTATAAAGATAACTTGAAAAAGTGTTTGGAATTTATTGAATGAAAATGTAGGGTATAAGAAAATTCAATTATATATATAATTTATATATAATGCCATATTTTAATATTAATATTTCAATATATATAAATATTTTTAT